CACACTGAGGCACAGTATCTGCAGAAACTTGGTGCGGCAGATTGTACACCATGACATTGATGAATTCAGGAAAGTAAAAGTTGGGTTTCAGGATAGCCCTTAAACTTTGATGTTCCTGGCTGGGGTAAATTATAGGAAGTTTTTGTTTGAGTTTCAGAATATTTGCAGGGCCCTGTTGCAAAATTATAGATCTGAAAGGAAATTCTTGAGATCATCCAGCCCAAAATTCTGTCCCATCAGAATCAGCTATACCTGTGTTATTGCAGAATTTTGTTTTTCTTTACTGCTGTTAAGGCCTCCAATATGGAAGACTGCATAGTCTCTTCACGTAAACTATGGTACATCATTTCCTTTCAGTCTAAAAGTTTTCCTTACTATATATCCTTAGTCTTCCTTGACACAATGTATGCCGATTATTTTTTCCCTTTTCTACTGTAAACAAAGTGAATATATGATTTCCTTCCTCTCTGCAGAAACTTTTTACTTATTAGTATGTTATCATGACCTAATTGAAACTATTAGCCAATTTCATTGATGACAAAGTGGAAAATTATTTTGTATTGCATTAGCAATCTTCATAAAATGCTGTATGTATAGAAAAGGAAAAAACTCGTCTATGACATTAGGTTATAAATATACAGATGCATACCTGAAGATGCATGGCTGTATCTTCAGACCCTTCTCTGTTTCATTTAAAAGATGGATGAAATAATATTCTTGAACACTGAAAGAGCCTTCAAATAAACAAATAAATTGTAAATAATTATATTTACGTAAAGTAAACAAAACTTCTAGATTCTGTGCTAAAATAGTTACAGGACTGTCTGATGATAATTAGAAAAAACACCCTGTAATGAAGTTTGCCTCATATCTGACAGAAAGAGCTATCTCATAATGACATCACATGTACTTTAAACATCAGCATGCTGCAAGAGTTCCGTTTGGTGCAGCATTATACCTGTGGGAGTATTTCAGCTGCCAAAAACATGTTTTCTGCCTTTTTAATTTATGTGCCTAACTTTAAGTACACAGACCTCAGCATTTTGGTTCCAACCTTTCTGGACCCCAATGCTGGTAACTATAAAAGTAAGTTTAATGCAAAATCATTGATTAGTATTTATTGAGGGGTTACTTCAATTCCGGCTTCAAGTTTAGAAGCCACAGAGTTCAAGTAATGTGATTCAAAGCATTCAAGATAAGATTTCATGTGCTATGGGTTGTTCTCTAGAGGAACCAACACTCTCAAGTGCTTTTAGGCTTCTGTTGTGTAATTCAGGTGGCTATTGCAGGTGATGTGAATAATCCTTCTTGTTCCGTATCTTCAGAGCATTATGAAAACTATTTTACAAAATATTAGTGTTGGGTTATGGAGGTGCAAAGCAAAGTGGTTTGCAGATTATAAGCAATTTCACAGTATATTTTTATTTCAAACTATCTTTCCTCACTTCTATCTAAGGCTTCCTAATCTGGTTTCTTATAGGCACACTACCATAAAATGTATTAATGACATCATTAGTAACACTTAGCCATGAATCCGTATCATCTTAAAAAATGGTGAAAAAAGGATGATGGTGTAGTTACTTTTCAAATTAATCATCTTTTCACTCTTTTGTAAGTTTCTTGAGGGTCCATTGTTTTCTGCCCTTTTAAACCATGTCTAGCTGTTAAGTTTGCAGTATTATGCAGTAATAAATTTGTACTTCAATTGCAGAGGCCTAGGAGCTCTGATTTTGTAAAAAGGCATTTTTATTATAACACAGCTCCTGATAAATTGAGGGACAAAGGCAGTTGGACCCTGAGTCAAAGTCCAGTTAAACATTTCAGTAATTTTTCAAGTATGCAGCCATATAGTGCAGGCAGCTAGAGGTTGGGCTGACAACTGAAGTATCACTTTAACAGCTGCTCCATTTCACTATCTCTCGGCTCATAAACTTTATTTTTAATGAGCCTGCCTCTAAGACCACTAAAAAATGACCTTCACAGAGAACTACAAGGACCTACAGTGGTGACCAAAATAGATTTCTTGGACAGTGCATAATATCACGGTGACCATAGCATAGAAGATAAACAGTATGATGGGGAAGACATTATACCAACTACTGGTGCGAATATTCTGTATTTTCATGCTGAAAGATTCTTGTGGTACCTGTACAAGTATTCTGCTGTCTTTAGCTCATACTAACTTGCACATCTTCATTGGCTTCACTCGTGTTGCACCAGTTTACATCAACTGGGTGAATGGCCTGTGCTTTTAAGGTTTTATTTAGGAGCTGTAGGCTGTCTTACAACAAGAAATCACATTATGTAATACACTAAAAACAGAGCTTTAGTTGCTTAAAAGCCTAAAACCAGTCAAAACTAGGATAATTTTAATTTATTATTTACATTCCAAAAGCAGCTGACATCAAGCTTCTGTGTACTATGCATGGTCCAAATCCAACTACAAATTGGCCCCTGACATGCTTAATATGCAAGTTTAAAGCCTAGGAGCATGGAAAAACAAATGAGGGGTGAACATACAGATGGAACAAAAGGAAGAAAATAATGCAGTATAAAATAACATGTTAAACAATTCAACAGCTTTCCTACAAGTTTTATACAAGCATAGGAGCACAGTAGAGTTTTTATGAAGACTACTCACTTTGCTGTTGTTACTGGAACCAAAAGAACCTCTTTGTTCTCTCTCAAGCTGTCTTCAAGTTGATGCCTTTCCTACAATACATCCTGAGGCATGTGGTAGATTTGGGAGTTCAGCTTTATGAACTGTCTTTTATGTTGCATGTGTTTCGGGCTTGGCTAAAGACACGCTGAACATTGTTAATCTTCAATATCTGGAAATACATTGTAGGGTCAATGAACAGATGGATGACTTCCAGCAAAAGCTATACTATACTTTGTTACGGTGCTAGCTGATGTTCTTTTAATTTGCTACCCAGACACAATGTTTCTGAGAGGCAAATGCCAACGTTTCACAGGGAAAGTCACAAACCAAGTACTTGTTTCCTTTTGCTCTGTCCCAAGAAAATAGTTCTTAATGTTATGTATACAATATCAGATCCTTGAATTTACTCAAATGAATTTTATTCCATTCTAACACATTTTCCTCCACTATTAATTTACTACAAAATTACTTTCAAAACCTCTTTCTAAAATGAATAGAAACTGAAAAAAGGGATTTCTGTAAGCAGATTTCTTGCCTAATTGCTTATTACAATATTCTGAAGAATGGGAAAGGTGTTTCTGCTGAAGTATTTGTGAAAAACAATCACAATTAACTGCCTCAGTTGTCCTCACTGAAATTTTTGTTGAAAATATTTGACTGTACATTTATGCTCGTACCTCTGTACTCATGATGCAGTGTAGATTCATTCCCTGTCCTTGCTGTAGCAATCAGGTGTTCTCCCAAGCCCTAAGTATTTTTAGGGTTTGGGCAAGTCTGTTGTGGTCCATAACACCCTCAGCTGCTATAAAGATGACTTAAGGCCACAGATGTAACTTGAAGCAGCCACTATGCCCAGCCCCAGCAGTGTTACATATATCTAGTTTATCTCAAGACTTGCTGAGAAAGTAACCAAATCATGATACAACAGCGTGAAGAAAACCTGTTTAGATGGTGTATGTCAGAGGATGATTGCGTTTTTAAATTAGTTTCATGAAAGTGATTATGAACCCTTTTAATTACTGTACTATTTTTACTAAATATTCTATCCTTTTATTTGGCTGAGGTTTTGGTTTGGGGTTTTGGGGTCTTTTTTTGTTGTTGTTGTGTTTTGTTTTGTTTTGGTTTTTTCCCCTGAAGTTCCACTATTCATACAAAGCAGCTGGGGAGATCTGGAAGTGACAAAAAAATCTTTCCACTCTTTCTTACCTTTCACCATCACATTGTTATACTAGTCATCCTTCCTTGCATCTGTCAGTAATAAGGCCAAGTTAAAAAACAATTTAAGATACATTTACGGAGACGGTGTCAGCATTTTGCTTACCAGTTGCACAGAATTTTCTCTACTGCCTTCCTGCTTAGAGTGAGGTTGGTCTTAGTTCATATATCTTTCCTTTAATTTAGCTTGAATTTGGAAGAACTTGTGTTTGTGTACATAAATTATATGCATATTTAAAAATACATTGTTTAAACCATGAACTCTTTTTCAGCCTTGGCTGGTCTTGTCACTTCTTTCTGATACACTATGCATCTTCCTGGGATGCCAAGTCAGCTTTAAGAATTAATTAGATCCACAAGTTCAGCTTCTTATCAGGAGGATTCTTCCAGCATATGTGTTTTGGATAACCATTATCACTAGCCCTCTACAGATCTGCTGGGAGAGCTCTCACTAAAGTATGCTCTCTTGTCTAATACACAGGAACCATTCATAATTTAATTTGCATTTCTTGAAAAAACACACGGGATTGTTCAAAGTTAGCACCTTTGTGTTGTTAGTACTACAGAAGAGAGCACCATAGCCAGCTTCCACCTAAACCATCACTCTTGTACTGACTAACCTAGCTGGTCTGGCAGAGATGAAGGGTATACTTTCCTATGGTAAATTACACTATAGCAAGGACTGCCCCTTTCAAGGGCCCATTTGCCCCTTTCAAAGCTCTTAGTTGTTTAATGAGTGGCTAAAGTGGTTGTACAGCTGTTCCTCTGAGGAAGACCAGTTCCTTGGAAGAGCAGTTCTTACTACATGATTGGCAGTATGTTAAAGCCGCAGTCCAGCCCATGGATTTCCTTTGAGAACATGGATGTTTATAAATCATTGTTGTCTAAAGAGAAGCAAATGGGTGAAATATGACAACTTCAGAATCTTTCAGTGTAAAATCCATGATTCTCTGATAAACATAGTAATTTGGTCATCATAGTATACTATTTTGTCTTCTCTTTTAACAGGATGAACTTTGTTATAATGGCTTTAATATTTAATATTTTTGTCTATGTTTAGAACTTATCATACCTTTTTATCAGTAAAGTAGGTTCTGATATTCATTTTGTTCTTCTTGTACAGATTAAAGAGCATCTCGCCAAGGGACAGAGGATGTTGGCTGGTGATGGCATGTCCCAAGTAACAAAGACACTATTGGATTTAACTCAGAGGAAAAATTTTTATGCAGGAGACCTTCTGATTTCTGTGGAAATTCTCAGAAATGTTACAGACACATTTAAAAGAGCAAGCTATATCCCTGCATCTGATGGGGTACAGGTAAGAGAAACATTGTAAGGGTAATGTTTCAGCTGATGGAGTTTAGGTCAATATATTGAATGTCAGCTATTATACCCACTGAGAAAACAAAATCTTCTGAATGATAGGCATAAACATTGTTCACATAAAACAAAGATACAAATATAAAATAGGAAAAGACTCAGCTACATTTAATGACACAAATATCCAAAACAACACAGCAAGTGAAAAATATAAATTTCTTGCTTTATAACTTACAGTACCTTTCTCCTACAAGGTTTGGTTTGATTTATAGAAATGTCTTGGTATTTTTTTTTTACTATGCAATTCCATAGTGTTGTTTGTTCTAGCTCATCTCAGTTCAAAATCCATCCATGATGTTTAGTTATGTAATTCTGGCATTGCTTCCTTAAAAGGACACAGGAATGTTGGATAGTACATTTGATATGAATTTTCTATTTCGTGTGTTAGATTAACTCTTCTTGTGCAAGACACCAAATAAAATTCTGTCAGAGCTATAAAGACTGTAATTATTGCTACATAATGGGCTGCAATACTCATTGTGTAATGTTCATCAAAATAAATATTTCACAGAACTTCTAAATCAGGATATTGGTTTCATCTATATCTGGGAATTTTAGACACGTTTAAAAGACTGTAGGTTTACTGAAAAAGAATACTGAGATGGCAGATGTATATATTATTTATGAAAAAGAGAGTTTAATGATCATTCATAAATTGCCAATGAAGTTATTAATGGAGGTCATGTGTACGCATTTGTTTGTGTAAAGGTAAGCATAGATTATAAATGCACTTTGGAATATATGCATGCAGATAAATGTAGGTATCTTGGAAACAACAATTTTTCCAGATTAGAGTTTTCAAAAGGTTGCTATTATATTTTAAGTTTTCTTTTTTCTCTGTGCACAAATAAAAATGAACTTCCATAATAAAACCAATATTTCTTGTTTTGGCCTGTAGCCAGTTGAAAGTAATATTTTATGAACAATGTTTTTCTAAAAAGATTTTGCCTGGTCAATACTATTTTATTTTTTAAAATTGAATAAGAGTCAATGTCGTTTCCTACATTCTGTAAGTTTTACTATTGAACAGGTCATTATTTACAGAAAATTTTTCATGCATTAAGTAATCTGATAGTTCAGTGTGACTTCTTCATGGTTCAGAGTTACTATAGAAAACTTTGGAAGAACCAACCTTGAGAAAGTGCTTGGTACAATTGATCTTGTTTATGGACTTAGCAGATCAGGCCATTTGCAGTTTACTCACATTAGAGAGAATTTGATTATTTTCCCACTAATTGCACAGGCAATGGCTCTGTTCACTTCAGTAACATAGAAGTGTTTCCAAAATTCATAATAGTTTTCTGGCAGAACTTGACAAAATTATTAGTACTATTTTAATAATCTTTGATTAATCATTTTGAAGTGAAGAAATGCAAAAAGGCCAAAATTGGTAAGCCATATTGTGAAGTAAATAAGTGTTTCTCAAACCAAAGAAATAACTGTATGTCATGATTTAGATACCTAAATACATAGCGGACATAAATCTCAACTTAAAACAATACTCCAAAACTTAAAGAAAAAAAAAAAAAAGCAAAGCTAAAAAGAAGTTAACAATTTGCAAGCAAAAGTAAAAATCAAAAATGAATGCATAGTGTTCAAGAGAGTATGTGAAAGCTGAATTAAGCATGTGTTTTGCACAAGGGATATATTAAGCAATGTTCCTGTTACTGAATTCTGATGAAATAAAATTAAATTCTGTCTCAGTAACATGAGTTTTAATTTTACTGACAATTTCTGAGAAATAAGGATTTTCCCATATGTAAACATGTCACATGCTACCATACTCTGGAGATCTGTATTTAATTTTTATTTTCATTGTCACATATTTTCATACTTTCTAGTCCATCAAAGTAAGTGACCAAAGGGTGAAAATGAAATTAACTTGCACAAAAGTGTCAAGATTCTTCTTCCTGAGGAAGCCCTGTGTGGTGTTCTAATTCCATTCTATTTTTACACTAGATAAAATAGTAGAATTTCTTAAGGTATGGGTTTTTTGTTTAAAGAAATTCTCAGAAAAGGATGAGTGAGGTTTAAAATCCTTGAAAGTCATAATATGTCATTTCACATGTTGTCAGAAAAGTGGATTGTGAATTATGGATAATATTATTTTTCAAGATCCATTAAAAAACAACACTTCCACTTTCATTAATACTGAGAAAGGAAAAGTGTATATGTCTGAGTATGTTTGTTTCTCATACATTTCATCCATCTGGATAATCCCTCAAATGACTATAATTTCTGGCTTATATCCAGTATTAATATTCATAAATAGTGCATAAAATGTGATTCAGAGATGGCATAACAAAAAAATTAACAGAAGAGTGAGATAAAATTTGAGAATTTCAGGCTAATTACCCACTATGAAGATGCTGCTGCTTTAGTGCTCGTGCTGCATAGAAAATGCCACTTGTTTAGGTAGACAGATACTTAGAGCAAAACAAAGCTTCTAAAGTATGTGTGTCTAGTGACTAGTTATTTACTATATGACCGTTTTTCTTTTTGCATATTTTTTTTTAACAATATTTATGTATACTTCACATACATAGTATGTGTTCTCCCCCTGTACTCGGCACTGGTGAGGCCGCACCTCGAGTACTGTGTTCAGTTTTGGGCCCCTCACTACAAGAAAGACATTGAGGTCTTGGAGCGTGTCCAGAGAAGGGCCACAAAACTGGTGAAGGGTCTGGAGAATATGTCTTATGAGGAGCGACTGAGGGAACTGGGCTTGTTTAGACTGGAGAAGAGGAGGCTGAGAGGAGACCTGATCACTGCCTACAACTACCTGAAAGGAGGTTGGGGAGAAGTGGGTGTTGGTCTCTTCTCCCTAATGACAGATGAGCGGACGAGGGGGAATGGACTCAAGCTGCGCCAGGGGAGGTTTAGATTGGACGTAAGGAAGAAGTTCTTCACCGAAACGGTTATCACACACTGGAACAGGCTGCCCAGGGAGGTGGTGGAGTCACCATCCCTGGATGTGTTTAAGAGACGGGTGGATGAGGTGCTGAAAGATATGGTTTAGTGGTGGACAGATACGGTTGGACTGGATGATCTCTAAGGGCTTTTCCAACCTAGTGATTCTATGATTCTGTGATAGTATCAAGAAGAAAAATAACCACGTATGAGGCAGCTAAACAATACAGAAGGTATCCTACATCAGTGACTGAAAACAGCAGTACAGTATCAGAAATAGCTGAAGGCAAGAGTGATGTAATGGTTCTATAAGCCAAGGTCTTTCCCTTAATACGGGAATTTAAAATACACTATGTAGGTAGGTACTCTGAAGCTGAGATAGCCACTGTGCTATTACCTCTGTAAGAAGGATTCTACCTGGAAGATAATTAAAATTTTAAATAAGCATAATGTAAGCAACATTTGGAACACTGGTTGTAGCTAGGAGTGCTTGAACTGCCTTCTAAGGGCAGGATGCCTGGAAAGGAACTACCTTTCAGGACAGGATGGCAGAGTGAGTTGTGCAATCCCCTGATCCAGTGACCAGCAGGAAACAAGGTTTCTCCCCAAAGAAGTTAGAGTAGTATAATCCCATTTATATTAGCCACAGGGACCATTGATGTCAGTCAGGGATTAACAGGATTGCCCAATGCTTTCCCCCCCCCACCTTCCCCCTCCCACACTCACAGTGCCTATGCTCAAGTCCAAAAGTGGAGGTGACTTAAGGCTATCCTTTAATTCCTCCTAGGGAGGAATTCTTCACTGGCTGTATAAAAGGATTTATGACAGCTTTATGCCTGCAGAGAGGGTCAAAGAATTTGGACTGGAACAGAGAACTGCAGTGATTGTATTTCTTAAGAAAAAGACTGAAAGGAAGGAAATTAAATTAGGAAAACATAATTGTCCATTCCTGACTGTAACTGGCATTATCAAAAAAGCCTGAGCAAAAATAAAGGACATCAAAATTTGGCTCTGACTGTCACAACATTTTCTATAGTGGCCAGTTCAGTAATGTGTAAGCTCTGCCATGAAAGGAAGGAGCTTTATTCTACATGGAAGGCCCGGTGTTTACTGCAGTAATGCCATCAGGTCACATCCATAATGCTTCTAAAAATTTAGCCTTCATACCTGCCAATCATTTTACTAAAGGGCAATTTTGTTTGTTGCAGCATTAATGCAATGTACAAGAGAATAGTCAGAGTAGGTGGAAGACTTTTTAACCTGCATTCCCATGTCACATTTTTGGAGTGCATTTCACATCTACTCATTATTGAAGCAGCAAAGCCATTTAATCATGTCTCTCTTTAATTCACAAAGCACTGGCATTGCTGACTGAAAAACCTCCATACATGTCAGCCTCCACTGCTTCCATAAATATGACATCAACTAGGGATAGAAATAGAGGAAAATAGGATCATAGGAAACAAGGTATTCTTCTTACTTGGTTCATATATGTTATTTATGCTTTACTGGCAAGTACAAAGTATATATTAAATCAATTATTTCTCACCTTTTGTTAGTGCTTGAGTCTAGGATTATTTATAAGCTTTTTCATATACATTTCTGTTAATTATTGGTTATTTTAATGCTTTCATGTAACGAAAATAAACATAAGATTTAATGAATACATAACGTTATTAGCAAAACCATGTAATTCATCATCTGCAAGAAGCATTTGTAACTCCTGAGTATTTTTCAGGCAATCTAGGCTCCTCTCGGATATATCTCATTACATGGACATGGGTAGTTTTGCAATTAGGGCTTAGATTGTTTCTGCAGGGGAATCAGTGGCTGCAGTGTAGTGCAAAACTAGCTTTGAACCAGCTCCTCAGTATGATAAATTATCCCACACTGAGCTCCATGCTGCTGCAGCTGGACTGCTGCTGGCACTCTAACAAGTTAGAGTTAGCTAGAATTTCTGTCCACTGCATATGCAAAGTATTACACTGGAAGCGCACAGAACTATCATGCTTTGAAAAGTGTTTTCCTAAGACAAAATTCCCCTATGGTTGACCCTATTTAGTAGAAATCTTTGCCAAAATCATAATGCCCTATACTAGATGTGGTTGTAGTGCCATGAAACTGCTTTAGACAGTATAGTTTATTTTACTTGGGGGACCAATAAAGCTGTACATTTTTCGTAACTGAGGTTGCATTTACACAATTATGATTTGCCAACCTGGTTAACCATTTTTCTTCTATGTCCTGTCTTTAATCCCCATCATCCTGTCCCAATGCATACTTGTAATTTTCACAGGAACTTTCTGAGCCATTTCCTTTCTTCTCATGAAGTTTTGTGTTATTGAAGCTTATGAATATTTTGCTACTGATTTCAGTGAGCAAAGAATTGTGCCCTCATTAATGTACAGGATTATTTTGAGCAAGTTCACCTAAGTGTCAGGTTACATCTATACTAAATTGGCCAAGTTAAAGCAATTTTTGTCCATGTGAATTTTATGGGTAGCAGAATTAACTACCTAATTATGAGGCATAGATGTATCCTCTTGCTTGTCAAGTAGTTAGTTTTAGGACTAGATTAAACTGGCAAAAATATTTTTATGTAAATGTAGTTTTCTTGTAGAATAGTTTTCATGAGTTTTATTCAATTTTGTATCCTACAATGATTTACTTATATGGTTGGATAAACCTAAAGTTATTGTGTTATCTCACATTTTGAAATTTATGCCTTTTCAAATACAACCACAGTATCCATAGCATACTAATGTTGGAAGTTATTTCTGCTCCCATTTCAATCACTGTGCAGTTTAGTGCTTTGTACTCTCATTAATAGTGAGTTAAAGTTCCTTCTTACTTAAACCTTATTCAAGCTGCATTTAGACCCCCAAAATGGTGGAAGAAGGAAGTGCAAGTGAAGGAATGACCATTAATCCAATTTCCAATAGTGACCCTTGGTTGGTATTCCACTTAACAGGTTTCTAGATGTTGTGAGGACTTAATTGCACTCTTCAGTTAAGGTCAGTAGAAACTACATGTATCTTTTATGAAGAAACAGACAAATTATAATTGGCAGACTGTAGACAAAATTGTCATTCTGCACAAAAAGTGATACATAGCTGAGAAGCACAGACTGCACAAATTCTTAGCTTTTAAAGCTGAAGGAAATGGGAATACAAATTGGCAGAGAGAGCAGAAAAATTTAGAAAGGAAAGTTCTCCACAAACGTGGAAGAAAGTGATTTTTTAAATGTGTGATTTCAAAGCTAAATGCCATGGCCCCTTTTTTTTTTTTCTTTTTTTTTTTTTTTTCTCCTTATAGATAAATGAACAGGAGAATCAGATAGAGGAATTAACAGTTTAAGGTCAAAGAAAAAGAAATAAATTTTTCCTTTACTGTTAAAATTACTATAAGAACAGAGGCACATACAATTCTTAAAAGTGAGATGCACCTACTTTCACTCAGCATTTACCAATGAAATACCATTGCATGCCCTATTTATGGTCATGAAGGATCATTTTCATGTTTTGAATAAAAACTACTGACCCTGAGTCTGGTGTTTTCTTGGTGTACTTTGTTTATTTGAAAAAGATAAAGTCAACTAGATTCTGTAATGAGAGAAATTTTAAAACAGAACACTGTCACTTTTAGAAGTTTAGCCAAATTTAAATGGTTCTTATTTTATACAAAGCAGTAGTATGGAACCTGATTACATGGCCAGAAATGCACAACTAACCATAAAATATATGTGCCTTTTCATCAGTCTACTACATGATTTTGTTGTCTCTTCCTTTGACAGTAAATAGTCTGAAGATCTGCAACTGTAATAGAGAAAGGAAAACTTTCTTAATGTCAACTTAAGGATATGAGCATTTATGTAACTAAAAGTCATTTTACTTTGTCTTTTATTTAATTGATTTTTCAGAACTTCTTTCAAATCATTAGTAATCTCTTAGACGAAGAAAACAAAGAGAAATGGGAAGATGCGCAACAGGTAAGTTCTGCATTTATTACCTTATAAATTAAAAAAATTGGAGTGTATGCATATTGTGACATTCACTGTATCAGGAGCCACACATTATTTTGGAATTCATGAGGAAGTGGAATTTATGTTTTTAAACAACAGATTAAACATACATCCTGCTGCAGGTGAAAGGAAATCCTAAGTGAGACAATATTTTGGAAATAACTGAAACTTTTCAAAAAAGAGTAATTCCAGGATCCATTGGCTAATTCCTTAGATTAAAATTATATTAATGAGGTTCTTCTCTTGATGAGCAGATTTTCATTACATTCCATGCGGTTATTCATTATGTCTTTTAATGTTGTAATCGAGTACATACAAAAGCTGAAAAATGCTACTAAAGGCTAGCTGCAGTAATACTTTTAATAAACAGAACACATGAGATCTCACCTAAAGAACTCATACGACACCACCAAACCAGTTAAATGGTAGACGTTTTTTAAAAAGTTATATTTAGGAGAACAGTTGTGATCCTTATAACTGACAAATTTCAAGACTGAGTTAGATATAACAATAGCACTTTATAAAATAGTAAAGACTAACAAAAATAATTTATTTACAATAAAAAAGTTTAAAATTCAAATGAAACCCATATTTTTTGCTTGGATATAAATATTTCCTACATGCTTATACCAAGAACATTACAGGACAATATTAATATTCATGTTCATGTACGTGACCATAGAACTATCAAACTTAATCATATACAAATAAAAGCCAAAGTAGAGATGGACAGAAAATTGTGTACAGACAAAAAATTATGGAGCTAATCAAAGGAAGGGGAATATTTCTATATGAAAATTGATTAAACAAAGCAAGATATTTCAGTACAAAAAAGAGTCAAATGCTTATGTGCAATAGAAGCTTTTAAAGTCAGGCTTGGATTGAAGAATATGATATGAGAATGATTAATTAATTAATTAATTTGCTTGTTCTTCCTGTCACATAACTGAAGGACATCAAATAGTGGCAGATTCAGAATGAATACTAGGTTTACTTTTTCTACAGAAAGTCAGGTTGCAGAAGTTGCCACTGAAAATGTACAAATTAAAAGAGTAAATAGACAAATTAATGAAAGAAAAGTCAGTATAGGATTTGCGTGGGTTTTGGCTGGGATAGAGTTAAATTTTCTTCATAGTATGGGGTTATCTTTTGGATTTGTGCTGAAAACAGTGTTAATAATACAGGGGTGTTTTCATCACTGCTGAGCAGTGCTTACACAGAGTCAAGGCCTTTTCTGTCCCTCACACCACAGCACCAGTGAGCAGACTGGGGGTGCACAAGAAGTTGGGAGGGGACACAGCCAGGACAGATGACCCCAACTGACCAAAAGGGTATTCCATACCGTATGACATCATCCTCAGCATGTAGAGCTGGGAAAAGAAGAAGAAAGAAGTGGGGGAGGTTAGGAGTGCTGGCATTTGTCTTACCAAGTAACCATTACATGTGATGGAGCCCTGCTTTCCCAGAGGTGGCTGAACACCTGCCAGCCATTGGAATTGGTGTATGAATTCTTTGTTTTTCTTTGCATGTGTGAGTGGCTTTTGCTTTTCCTATTAAACTCTCTTAATCTCAACCCACACAAGTTTTCTAACTTTTACTCTTCCAATTCTCGCCCACATCCTGCCATGGGGGGAGTAAGCAAGTAGCTATGTGGTGCTGAGTTGCTTGCTTGGGTCAAACCATGACCATGTTTTTGGCACCCAACTGCAGTGGCAAGAAGGTATCTCCTAGCGTTCACTCTGGGTCTGCCAATATTTGATGTCCCTTAGTTATTTTACAAGAAACACAAGTGAATCAATTAATCATTCATACATCACATTCTCCAAGAGCACAGGGCTGTTCATTAAAAGATCCCATTTTTGCTTAAGAAAGTCCTTTGACAAAAAAGTGATAAAGGCTGGGCAAGAATTCCAAAAGAAGTATCACTATTTGCATGCCCCTTTATGCTCTTCCTTAGACACCTGCTATTTGCCACTGTCAAAAGGAAGAAAGCAGTTTACATAGATTTTTGGTCTATTCTTGTATGGTCATTTCCACTGTGTGTTACATAGATACTTGATGTATCCATATACACCACTTAATATGGTTGTTAAGAAATTGCTAAGTGTTTGAAAGTCTTTGAAGCTATTAAGCTTCATTTTTGTAAATGCATCTTTATAATATGACTAAGAAAGGGAGGATCAGGACTTCTCACCCATTCAAACCTGGTAATAGACATAAGATGCTGCAGCTGACCCGTTGTAATTTAGACAGGAATTGTGTTTTTCTTTTGGTGTTTTTCTGATTTACTGTGTAAGAGTTTGCTACAAAAATAGACAAAGTGTGTCATTTTCCTTAGGGGTGGTGGATGGAAGAAGCAAAATCACATGCCTGTGGGCAGTTTCCATAAACAGCATCAAGATTAGGGAACCAATATTAAGCTACCATTTTAGCCGCACTAATGAACAGATGGGATAACACTCCTTATGCTATCAGCCTTGTCTTCTACCTCCACCCTGCCTGCTTGCTCATGCCATGTCCGCTGTTTCTTCCATGAAGATCAGGAGATGACAGCACCTAAGAGGAAATGAGAACATGAAGGGAAAAAAGGGAACAACAAATCTCTAGTTCTCTCCACTCATTGCTGTTGGTAGAAGTGGTGTTGAAAAAGGGGGAGGAGACAAGTTCTACTTTTCCATAGTTCCTTCTTTCTGCCTGGTAATCCGTTGTCTCACAAACCTGAGGGCAGCACTGGTTGGCATGCAGCAACCCAAGCAAGCACCAAGATGAGCTGTACACGGGAGTAGAAGGGCCATTCCTGCCTGGTGACAAACCGAAAGAATTCACTAAGTCTTAGACTCCTGAGCCATGGCATCCAATAAACCATATCACTGGTCTTGTTACTGTTCTTGGATATTTATACAAGAAATCTCAAAGAAACTATTGAAGCAAGTAGCTCTTCCTACCAGCTCGGAAGGGTGAGCTGGACTTCTAAGATTCTTCTTTTCTTTTACTATTGAATAAAAAAACCCCTTTCTTATATAAAATATTAATTTCTATCATATTTTGGATAAAACGGTGAGATATTATGGTTAAATAGAATTGTATTTTAAAACAGAAACAATGTTATTTGAAATTACTACATCTTGTGCAAAGACTTTTTTAGGTTTTCAATTTCCAAGTAGGAACTGAACTTGAAAAGAATGTGCGCAAGTCATTACGTGCTGTGAATACAACCTAGTGCAAACACTGTTGACTCATTAGAAAGAGTAAAGGTGATTCTGTTTCTGGTTTAGCCATTCAGCTGAATTTTTTGTAGTGCAGCATTGCAAACCAAGGGTCAGTCTAACCAACTTTTCTTGCCAGCTTGCATGATATTCTTGAACTCCACAGCTACTATTAGCATAGACCTCTTAGCCTGTTTTCTGGATTCTTTGCTGGAAAGAAAATCTTAGTGTCAGCAAATTGCTGACTTTCTATCAAGTATACAGCTGCAGTGCCTCAGCACATCCTTTTTTCTAGATTAAATGCCAGCAGTTGATACCATTAATTACAGGTTATATCCTGTTCAGATAAGCAGCACCCACTTTAATACTTGCTTTTTGCTAAGAGCTGATGTAAAGCACAGCACACAGGAAACCACTTCAGGTCCACAGCATGTAAGTTTGGTGTTTCAAAACAGAGGAGCTATTCTGCATATTCTGCATATATTTCTTCATCATTATCTGCTGGCACCCTATTGATTAACCAGTACTTCAGATATAAAAAAGTGAAGAGTACCTCTATAAACCTGACTGCTCAAAAGTTTCTGCTGAAGTTATTACTATAAAATTTTATGTGCCAGAACTAGAGTGAAAAAATCTTTTCACTGAAATTTATCCCTAGTACATAATCTGTGAGTGTGTGTGCTATGAATGAGATGGATGCAAAACCCACGCTTACTCCCTCAGTAACTCATCATTAGGAAAATGGAATTTAAGTCCCCTTTACCTGAAGCAGCATTTGCAACCTTTTAGTATCATAAATATCACAACAAATTCTTCATAAAAATGGTATTGCCAGCCTACCTTCTATAAAAAGATCCATGTAGAAAACAAAGCACATTGTGAAATTCTCTCTCCTGGATGGAGCAGCTGTGGATCTAGACAGATAAAGCAAAATGAAAATGGATCACACCATGCTGGAATTTATAGTCTCTGCAGGGATTTTTTATAGTTTGTAGTGAGATGTGGAAAGAATACGTTGAATGTTACTTATAAAGGGAAATTTGGACATCTCACCAATATGAAGAAAAAAACACTGTGAACAAGTCATCCATTATTTTTCTATCGCAAAATACTGTGTTGCTCAAAACCATCCTGTTCATAACAGACCATAACAACCAAAAACAATTATTTTATGCATGTGATAGGAGCAGAATTTTAAAGCTTATTAATAACAGGTTTGACCTTTAATGCACTTTGGATGATGTATGATTATTGCCGAATATAACAATTGTTAATGTTTTTGTGATCATAGTAGCTTACAGCTTTGCAAATATATTGTATTTCTTGGAAATGTGCTAGTCCTTACCATTTTGAAAGGCATATTGAGAGGCTGCATTAGCAATGCAAAGGCTACTGCAGTTTATTTTAGCTTACTGCATTCAGTTTGGTGCTCCTCAGTACAAGACATGGATGTAACAGAATGAGCCCAACAAAGAGCAACGAAGGGGGTTAGGGGACTGGAGCATCTGATGCGCAAGGAGAGACTGAAAGAGCTGACACTATTTTTCTTGGAAATCAGAAAGCTTAGTGGGGATCCTGCCAGTGTTAAAAATTCCTGTCTAAAGGAGAGTCTAAAGAAGACTGAGCCAAACTCTTCTCAGTGGTATCTGGTGACAGGACAAGAAGCAAGGGGCAAAAATTAAAATACAGCAAATTCCATAAGAAAAACCTTTTCACTGTAAGAGCGATTGAATGCTACATGTTGCACTGTCTCTGGGGTGTCCATCATGGGAGATGTTCAAAATCCAGCTGGATGTGGTCCTGGGCAACCTGCTAGATCTGGTCTTGCTCTGAGCAGAGGGTTGAACTAGGTGATCTCCAGAGGCCCTTTCCAACATCAGCTGTTCTATGATTTTATTAATCCACATCAGCACTGAATATAGGATTATCGGTACCAGTATACAGTACTTAATAATGACTAAAGCAACTGAAGTTTATCATGCTGGGAGAGGCCATGGTAAGACTTACATTCAGCTGTTTGTTTCAGTAGTTCTGAAGTTACTGAAGATACCTTCTAGAAGAAAGAAGAATGTTTTAGTAGTATTATTCTGGAATCTTAAATGGTTTAATTGTTAGTAAAAGTAACAGCTAGTAATTTTTTGTTTTTTAATAAGTGCAGGGACTTAGAGCAAACATTCCACAGTTCGAGTGCAAAGCTGATTTCACATAGCTACGTGGGAAGTAATGTCTGTTCACATGAGGATCTAATGCCAAAATGGTTGTTCAACCGTGACAGAAAATGTTCAGTATTGAAACATGGGAAGAGCAGTTTGACTGTTAAGTCTCACATTTCACTTCATGACATTCAGATTTGATTTGAAATTTCTGCGATAGAGATTTTGATATTACAGTTAATGGCATGTCTGACCTTCCTTTGTTAGATCTATCCAGGCTCTGTGGAGTTGATGCAGGTGATTGAAGATTTTATACACATTGTTGGAATGGGAATGATGGACTTTCAGAATTCATACCTAATGACCGGAAATGTAGGTAAGAAATAGGAATTTCTTCTATCAAATCTATGACCTATAGAAAATCAGAAATTGCAAGTATGTACTATAGAGTTGCTGCTTCTATCGCAATCCAGATTGGGCTGCTCCTCCTCGTCCAGATTGTATCTCTGTTGCTTGGTTCTCTCCTCTCTGATTTAAGACACTCGATATGCCTTAGACATTGGATCCTCCATAACCATGTCTCAAGATCTAAATGCAGTTTCAGACTCTAAATAAGATTCAGAAAATACTTATCAGAATACTATGAACTGTAGGCATATGTTAGAGCATTTCCTGGATATACAGTGTTTCAAATTGTAATTTAGAAAATCATGCTAGGTAAGATAATAATTATATACTTAATAGCTTGAAAAATGTTAATTTTGTTGACATTTTATCTCTTCTAATATTCTGTTCTTCCAAAGAACAGTCTTTGCAAATATTATGGTCTGATAGCAATCATCATAGAGAGATAAGCAATAATTTAAAAAAACCTATTAGTTGCCAAAATAATTTGTCTATGGTTTTGTACATTAGTTCTTCACATTAATTTTTTCTATGTGTGACAGTTTCAAAATTTTATTCAGATTTATTTTTCAAACTTTGTTTCTGGCACTGGAGAGTTGCTAGGCAATATAATCAAGTAATAACAAACATCACATGAAGAGGCTTAGCAACTGAATTCCACTTATTACTAGCCATAAATGCTTCTGGAATGTCACAGAATTTTATTAAACATTCAACAAAAAAACTAGTTTGAAAAGTTATTTTCTAAGCATTTCATATTTGCTTAGTATCTTCCTTATTCTATTAACTTCCTATAGCTGCACTTTCATAATGCCAGGGAAGTATCAGTTAGTTATATGAACAAGTTCAAAATATATGTTTGTCTGATAGCAAAATTTCTGGTGTCAATACATTCTTTCAGATTTTCAGTTAGCATCTTCCTGCATCTGTATGTCAGGCACATCTTCAGCAAGTCATTAGAATTAGTTGGAAAATACGGTCATTTAGAAATTAGTTGGAAGAATACAGCAGGACAATTGATGGGATGCCTCTATTGAAAATCTAACTTGCTGTGCAATAATAAATATGTATTATTGTTGTCCGGTTCATATTTAGATTGACAGGGCTGTAAACACTATCCTCTGTAAGGCAGAGCCTTGTATTGGAGAAATGTCAAAGAACTCACCAAAACAAAGTCTTGCAGCCTGAAAATGTTTAAAACATTTCAGTCAGGAGTATGGGGAACTTCAGCTTTTAACCAGTGATTTATTATTTCTGTTGTTTACTGTTTGAACTGTAATACCTCTTGAAGCTTCTTCCAGTTGTCAGTCCTTCATTACGCTACACCCTGCACAAATTTATAAAGAAAAGACAGTATCTTTCTTGAAATGCTTGTTCCATGGCATTTTTATGACAAAATAAAAAGATGAGCTTATTTAAAGAACAGATCCTGTGCTGCTTGGCATGTTGTACTGCATTCTGATCTGTTTGTCCTCTGAAAAATGTGAGAAAAAAAAAAAAAAAGACTGGAAAATGTTTTAAGAAGACGCATTCAAATAATCTGTGTCTCTGCATATTCATGGCTTCAAATGGGAAACAGCAACAACTTTCCAATAGAATCAGAAACTGTGCTGTGCACTGGTTTCATAATCTTAACAGCCTTTCCTTGGATTATCTTTCTCTTCCCACATCTAAGATATTTTTAGGCACTCAGGAGTAGGTCTGTTATTAACTATATAAACATCAAATGAATAAAAAGCCCCTGAGAAAAGTAAAGTTAATTTATAGATTTATTCTGACTGCCTAGCTTTGTGCCTTGACCTACTGGTGTGAGTTTATCCTCTCTTTGCTCTGTCAACCATCAAAAAAGTACAGGGTCACTGCAGTGCACCTCATTGACCAGAGTACTTGAGCTCAGGTGACATGGCGAGATGGGGACTGAAGGTTGTTTCAGCAAGGAGTAATTTCTTATTTTCACTAACAAAGAAGGAATGTATCTGGAATAATTCAGTTTCATTGTAGTTATCCTCAGGGGTTTGGTGCAACTGTGTCTGATGGGATATGTACTTGGATCTTAGGGAACATTTATGTTGATCTCAACTGAGAGGAATGAGCTATGACGTTGTTGTTTTCTTGTCTTAGCATTAATTCTGCTGTACTAACATGAGTTTAAAAATGCGTGGGGTCTTGTTTATAATTTGTAATAACATTCTTGTCATTTAACTCAGCAAACACATTCCATGCAGGAAGCAGGTATGTACAGAAAAGAGGATCAACTTTTATATGTTCATCTTTAAACAGGAACACCCAATAGATTTCCCATAGTTAATTACCATAAAATATTTCCTCAGCATCTTGAGATATTTTAGATGTCTTTTGCTTTATTTTCATTTAAAAATCACTTTACAGTTCAGATTTATGAGAAAAAGAAATCAGTACTAAAGATGAACTGCTGCTTCTTGTTGGGAAACAAATTCAGTTCGTTAGCAAATTTCCAGAGTCCAGAGGAGGGCCACGAAGATGATCAGAGGGCTGGAGCACCTCTCCTATGGGGACAGGCTGAGAGAACTGGACTTGTTCAGCCTGGAGAAGAGGAGGCTCCGAGGAGACCTCATTGCAGCTTTCCAGTATCTGAAGGGGGCCTACAAGGGTACTGGGAGAGGACTGTTTACAAGAGCCTGTAGTGATAGGACAAGGGGTAATGGGTATAAATTGAAATCAGGGAGGTTTAGATTAGATGTCAGGAAGAAATTCTTCACAGAGAGGGTGGTGAGGCATTGGAACAGGTTGCCCAGAGATGTTGTGGATGCCCCATCCCTGGAAGTGTTCAAGGCCAGGCTGGATGTGGCTTTGAGCAACCTGGTCTAGTGCAAGGTGTCCCTGCCCATGGCAGGGGGGGTGGAACTAGATGATCTTTAAGGTCCCTTCCAACCCTAACCATTCTGTGCTTCTATGATTCTATGATTCTATGATTCCCTGTATTGCACCAAGTTCTTGTTTCCTTCCACTAATTTCAGTTTCAAAGTTAATTTCTAATAGAATGAACTATAATGGTCCTTCTACAATTTGAACATCTAATTGTGTTTGACAGATATGCCCATCTCCCAAAATCCCCCACAGATGGAATTTTATTTTCTCTTCCCCTCAAAACACAGGAGCAAGTAACAGTCTTAAGCTACTACACAACAGCCACACTGCAGTGACCATCCATTGCACATTCTCAGCTCATGGTACATGGGAAGTTACCCTAATTCTATGGTAGGCTATACCAAACCACATTATTATACATTTGGAAGTTGCTGTGGAGGTCCAGAGGGACAGTTGCTATGCCACTGTTAAACTCTTCAATGTGGTGACTTTTAACGCAAATTTTTCATTGCTTCTGAACAAAACAGCAGAGACTGGTTCTAAATCCACAAGATCTGTGCTTTGCAGTTTATTTAGGTACCTCAGGCTAATCAAATGCATTTCCATTAAAGCAAGGCCCATCTCCTCTTAGCTCTTCTTTCAAGGATAGAAAATACATTATGAAAAACTTAACAAATGTAAAAGCAACAATTGCTTGGATCATGCATAGCTGGGACAGATGGTATTTATTTGTGTGCTCTGTGTTCTATATTGTATTCCTTTAAGGAATGATATGGGGAAATAAAACCCTCTTATAGGGGATGGAAGCCCCCTTCTCCATCCTGCTCCTTCTCTTCCTCCTCCTCCAACTTCTACTCCTCAGGACCCTCTGAGCAGGCACAGGAAAAAGATAGTGTAAAAAAAGTTTTGCTACCACTCAGAGACTCAGATTAGCTGAAAGCACATGCCCACCTGCAAGTATACAACATGCAGTGGGAGAAAAACTTTTAAACCATATTAGCATTCTGTGTTAACTACTTGCTTTCAGTTTTCTCTGTTTTAAAATGTGAGTTCCTGATTTTAGATCAAATGATTAATATTGGCTTTTTAACAGCCTTTTTCTCTTTTTTTGAGAGCTGAAGGCCTAAGCAGATCCACCTCAGACCTTGGCTGGTTTGGGGTCCCATCACAATAATCCATTAAAAGTGTTAAAGAAATGTACTAAAAGGTGACTGAACTGCTTTCAATAAATATTTGTCCTGTAATTTAAAAAAAAAAAAGCTAGATTGGAAGATTGGAGTGCCACAAGCATAACTGTTTTTAAAGATGGAATGTAGAACTGGAAATAGGGAGCACTATTAGGAGATACATGTTTCTATGGTAGATTAGGATTCTTTTGTAAAGGAAAATTCTCCCTTTGTTGTCAAATAAATTTCCTTAAGAGCAGCAGCCAAAAAATGGTTAAAGGAAACTCTCTTGTCAAAAATCAAGCTTTCAGCTCTTAGAAGATATTAATGAGAACACCAAATAATCTTGAAGTGCAGTGTGTTGTCATGGATGTGATTTGGAACTGTCAGAAAATAAACAGAATTTTCAGCATGAGAAAAGCCACTTTTTGTTAATGTTAATTTTATAAATACTGATGTTTGAGTGATCAGTAATGTTCTAAAATATGCAACTATCACAAAGTTATTTAGACTAGTCAAAGACAGGAAAAGCTGAAGATCTCCAGGGGGTATAGCAAAATGAAAAGAAGAGGATATCCACTGGCAGATTAAATTCAGTGTTGACAGAGCATGTAAGATGGAGTGGTTCAAACCATACATAATGTAGGAATCTAAAAGAATTCAGTAAAATCCCATGGTCACTTTTCAGCAGAGCTCAGAGCATTAGTCTGCAAAAAAAGCAGTCTAACGAGAATGCAGATTTTTTTTTTTTTTAAATATCAGTAGCTATCATTTGCAATGCTCTTTTCAATTGAGATTATATCGTTGGGATTCATTTTACTTTCTTTAAGCATCACAAAGTTTGCCAAAGTCACCCTAACTTTCCTTTATAATCAAGGGAAACTACTGGTCAGGAGAGCAAGTCATGCCATCTCGGAATCTAAAGGCCATGGGTTGCCTTCTGGAAGTTTTTCCATTG